GGCCTGTGCATTTTCTAAGTATGATTAATGATTATCAGAAGACTAAAATGAAGAGAGCGCCAAGGAGTGAATTGTTACGGAACAGGGTTTGGTTTTGTTGTGATTTTTTGGCTAAAATCCTCCAGTCAGCCTAAAACTCGGTCCCCCCGCACCCCTGGAGATGGTGGTGGGACAGTGTGGGTGGCAGCTGCCCTCTGGAAGCAGGTGGACCTGTGTGACCTTGGGTGAACTACTGGAGGTCAGCAACAACCGTAAATGGACAACCACGGAGAGATCGTGGAACAAAGCGCTTGGCTCGGGCTGCTACTTCCTTGCTTCCATTCACTGAGGATCCTGCCCACTATTGGCAGTTCAAACCCAGGGACTACCTCCTGCTGGGGACCACGGAACGCAGAGTTGGATTCGACCCCTTAACTTGGGATGCAGGCGTCACCGGCTAGGGATCTAAGGGGTAAGAAAGAGGTGGTGTGACTTCCTCGCATCAGATCCTTTAGGATCCCGAGGAACTACTGTGTGCCCAGCACCTTCACATGCCCTGTTTTCTTTCCTTCAACTCTTGCCCACTAAGGTCTCTCTCACCAACCCCCAATTTGGAGTTCCAATGCTCAGCGATATCCCACAGCTGGGAGGAGGCAGAATGAGGATTCCAGCCCACGCTGAATGGAAATCCTGCTTTGTCTCCACGGGTCCCCCTCTCCCAGGACCCCAGCTCCCCCCTTCCTGCCACGCGGCCCCCAGCTCAGCACAGACAACAGACCGACTCAGCTGGTGACGGGCATGCATGCATGGGAGAGCCCATTCATCCACACACTGACACACCAAGTTCTTCAGTGCAACTTGCATCGAAGCTTTATTTGCTATTTTCATGGTCTGAATGCAACATCTTTGTACATGCAAAGGTCATCCTGTCTAATGGCAGTTGACCAGATTCCCAACTGTTCTTCTGTGCGTATGAAACCTCTTTACAGTTACAAAATATAAAAGCACTTGTAGATACCCAATACTATGTGAGGTCCAGGAAGCCCCATTTGTTTTAACGTTAAAAATATAGGTTTTTCTAGATGAATGCTCAGTCACGCGATTAGATTCTTTCTGGGATTGGATAAAGTGCCTGTCGTCCACCTTCTTCTGTTCAGAACCCCCTTAGAGCTTGTGAATTCATAAGGCAATTGCAAGAACGCCAGCAGGCAGCAGGTGTAACTTTCCTACACACGGGACTCGAGTTTCTTTTCTACTGTGACTCAAATTTTATCTCCGGAAGGGACTCAGAAGAAATGCTAGGAAAATATATAGTGTATTTGTATGTATTTCTGCTCTCCGCCCCTTCTTACAAAGTGTTTTGAGGATCAGAATCATCTGGGAAGTGCATCACTTCTAGGATATTGGTATGATTTAGGAAACAACACAGTGCAAAATATCTTCCGTAACACAATATATTACTTTTGCGAGCCCCCTATTTACAGGATCTATAAGGCTATTTGGAATGAGACCAGTAAAAAAGCTCAAATTGTTCTTTAGACAATGGCATGATTTTTGTTTGTTTGGTTGGTTTTTTGTTTTTTGTGTTTTTTTTGTCTTTTTTTGCAGATGTGATACCACTGGAGATTGTCAAAAAAAAGGGCCGGTCTGAATCATGGAGGGAGATGTTCAGGTACCAGGTTAGAGGGTGACTAAGGAGATTTAAGGGAGGGGGAGAAGCTGATTGATTTTAAGGGTTAATTTGCCAGGAACCTCAGGCTGATTTTCCAGAACACAGATTTCTGCACCCCTCCCTGCAGGAACCAATCCCAACAAAAGAAAGCAAATTCTAGAGCGGGGGGAAGCCAAAGGGGAGAGCCTGGCGAAGACCCGGCACACTTGTGCCCACTGGCTTTCTGCGTGGCTCTGCATTTCCAGAACCTCAGCTTGCCCAAAACCCCAACAGGGTTGACTTGTAGCAGCCTCTCGGCAGAGCCCGGGTCCACGGCTCCCTGGGTGGCTGCAGCCCAAGGTGGACCCCCTTCCAGATGTGGAGTGGGTCCCGCCTGCTTCAAGTGGTTCCCTCCATGTCAATATTGTCCCTCTTCCCCCGTGGAATCACGATGCCATGGGAGTTTTGCTTCCACATCTGAACGCGTGGTGGAGGAGGAAAGGCACAGTTGAGGCCGTAGGAGGCTTCCCCATTTACTCCAGTGACTTGTCATGGTGTAAATTAGGGGCGAGGATGTCTCCCCTCGGATAGACCTTTTCTCCTGCCTCTACATCCCTCGGGCTCCCCATGACATGCTAGTTTACACACAGGCTAAGTGATCTGGCTTCCTGTACGAAGGGACGGGACTGGGGGTGCAGGGGCACCACAGGGATTGAGGGGGAAACACAGAACTGGAGAGCGAGAGGCAGGCTCAACAGCGTTCTCCGTGGGACACAGTCTTCCACGCCGGCCCAAGTCGCCTTGAAAAAAGCATTTAGTTTTAGAGGTGATCTGACCACACGCCTGTGGATTTTCAGCTGTATGATTATGCCTAGCTCCTGGGGCAATCTGGGGGCATTGTGATGAAAAATGCACAAGTGTTAAGTGGACAAGGCGGCCACCAGGGCCGAGTGCGAGCAGCTGAGCTCCCCTCTGGGGGGTGGGGGCACGCCATGGGGGTTTCCTCCACTCCCTTGCACAGCCTCTAAGCTCTGGGACCTCAGGCCTGCGTCTATTTCGATGCTTGCTCCTTAGCAATACCTAGAGTTGGCCTCACTTCCTTGGACGCACAAAGGCAAACACATTTGTCTGAGAGCACAGGACTTGGCTTGTCCCCCTGGAAGAGCTCCCATCTGATTGTCCTTTTCCCGAATCCTGGATAACCTGAGGCCGTCAGGTCTGTGTCACTCCAAACCCCCCCATGAAACAACGCGAGGCTTCGGCCTCACCAGAATTTCTCTGGTGGCACCAAGGAATTCTCCATAAAACTGATTCTTGAGGCCTCGCCATGGGATTTCATAGGCCAAAGGCCTCTGTTTCAGCAGGCAAGGGCCACGAAGGAGGGGATCTAGATACAGACTTATCAAAACACCAGCCATCAAAATGCTGATGTGCAAAGGGTGTGTGTGTTTGTGTGTCTGTAGACAGATTGTACATACATAGAGATTTGCTTTCTGTGCAAGACTTTCATTTAAGGAGAGCCAAAGGCCCCCAGGAAGGTGATTGGATGAGGGCAGGTGACTTGATTGCATACAAACAATTAAGGCATATTAAGTTAGTTTAAAAAGAGATAAATTTCCAAAGGTGGCTCCAGGCAAACTCAAGAAACTAGCATACAAACGGCTCGCTTCGCGCCAGAAAGCACTCGGCTTAGAAAGAGGGAAAAACCAACGACACGCTTGCCCAGCTATCTGCAAAAGTTCCAAGCATCAGCCACTTCTAACCTGGTTGCAATGAGCATAGTGGGATCCAGACGTCAAGGGGAGCCTGCATGGAGAGGGTGGTTCCTGACCCACTGTGAGGTTCCGCTCTGCAGTGGAGAGGTGAGGCTGCTCTCGTCAGTTTCAAGGGGGGTGGACTTTGTATGTCCTAATCAGCAAGGAATTAAATGGATTTTTGTTTCCAATCAAAGTGTGGGAGGTTGGGCAAAAGATCTCCAGGTTCATCTCATGTTCAAGTGTTTTTCTTCCCTGTTGGGTATACTTGGGCTAAAACATAACTAATTAAGAATTGGGGGGTTTTGCATGGTATCTATAGTCTCACTGAACAGAGCAAGTTTATTCCTACTGTCCAAGATGGTACCAAGGGGCCCTTCCCACCTGAAGGAAAGACAGCAGCCAGGAAGAGTTGGTCAGAACATGAGGAGTGTCCTTCAAGGGGACCTATGGCCCTGGAGAGCCACCACATCAAAATTGTTTTAAAACATTAACCAGATCTCAGGGCGCCTGGATGGCTCAGTTGGTTAAGCATCTGACTCTTGATCTTAGCTCAGGTCTTGATCTCAGGGTCATGAGTTCAAGCCCTGCGTTGGGCTCCACGCTGGGCGTGAAGCCTTCTTAAAAACAAAACAAAACAGAACATTGACTGGATCTCAAAGAAAGAAAGAAGGAAAGGAAAGAAAAATCACCCAAAGCAGCAGTTCCTGGAGGAATCAAATTTCCACCCAAGGGCCACAGATAACAGAATGACCACTACCTCGGGGAATGAAAAGAACACAAACTTATCAAGCAGGGCCAAAGCTCCGGACACAGATGCATGAGGCTTCCAGATGCAAAAGGCTGGGTGGGTGACAGGGTCCGACAGCAGCCCCTGGGTAGCCAAAGGTCAGCCAAAGTTCAGATTGGGGGAGGGGGCAGGGCTTCAGTCCCTGTCCATGGTGCGGAACCTGGAGAAACAGGATTGCTCTCCACCCCTCACCCCCACCCCCAAGAGAAGGAAGAGATGACAAAGGGTGAAGGAAGAAGAGATGGGGGAGACAAATGGAGACTCCTGGAGACGTGGCCAGGGAGAAGGAAGGTAAGTTTTGACACCATTTGCAAATAATGGATTTATCAAGAAAGATTTTCATGTCTTGGGAAGTCAGTGGGTGGGCGTGCATGTGGCCCATCCCTTCCCTCTCTAGCCTTAGAAAACTCAGCCCTGGGGCCCCTCAGCAGTCACAGGGGGCCCTATGAACTGCCCCAAGCATCTTTCTCACCAACGGGCATCTCCCAGGCAAGGTTGGCACACAGTTTATGGCAACTCCAGGCATGGCAGGTGGCCGGCCAGTCAAGCACATCTGGGATGTCTGCTGGAGCCTTGGGTTTCAGACGTGGAGGAGGCTGGTGTTGAGGATTTCCAAAAAGAAAGACCACGTAGGGAGTGCCTACGACCCCCAGAGGTCTTAGAGATTCCTGGGAATGAGCTTAGAGCTAGCAAGAAAAAAAAAAAAAAAAAAGAGGCAAAGCAAAACCTGTACTTTGTCACCTGGCATCCAGCACTTCTGTCCAGAGAAGGATTTCAGCAAGACCCCTCCCTTCCTGCATTTGGACCTAAAGGAAGCACTTGGTCAGGTAGAGTTGGCAGGGGGTAGGGTGGGGGAGTGGCAGAAGGAAGAGGGGAGAGAAACAGAAGAACCCCCTCCCTCCCATTCACACATTTGTTCCAATTTGGAATGATGCTTCCATCTTGGGCGCTGTTCAAAAAAGACTGGAGAAGAAGATTCTCAGGGCGGGTCTGATGTTTGGGTGCGAAAGGCACTGCCATCGGGCTGCCTTTGATGAACCTTGAGGCCAAGGGACAATGGTCACTCCACAGAAATCAGAGCTCAAATGAAATCAGGAAAATATATATACAAAGGTGACAACTGGAATTTTCTTTTAAAAACACGGATGGGTTAAGATAACCTGAGATGATCGGATACTTCAAGCCAATTATTCACACATCTTTTCTTCTGCTCTTGAACGTAAAAAACGTATACATACCAAATTTCAAAGAAAGCTGGCTGAATTATTGCTTTAACGCCTTCTAAAGCAAACCAAAGTGATGTATAATGAGCAGGTCGTCTATGCGCACAGCCCCATTGTGACGATAAATACACTTGAAACAAGAGGGTGGGTATGTTTAAAAAATTGGAGCTGCTGATTCTTGGGAGAGGGAAGGAGATGGAACTCGCCCATAAAGCAATCACAACCCAACCCCGTGACCCTGCCTTGGGCCACAATCACGGCAGGAAACGGAGTTTCTTCTTCCTTGGAAACAGGCTTTTGAAAGGACGTGCCCTGGTGGTGGTGGGGGGGGTGGTGGCGAGGGGAGAGGTGCTCTCACAATAGAGGTGTTTTCCAGAACCTGGGGAGATGGTCCAGCCTCAGACTGACGGTCCCGAAGTGATGTCTACGGTGGGTAGAAATGCCCAGTATTCACATAAAACACAAAACCACCAGCATGGACAATTCTGGGCAGCCTGGCTTCATCCTCAGCCTCAAGTGTTGTCTGGGGGGACGTGCAAGGGCTTGAGGAGAGCGGGTCTTCGCGCCCCAATTGGCGGTGGGGGGGGTAGCCTGTGGAGAGGCAGGAGGCACGGGGCCGTGTTCTCCACCCCACTGGAAGGGCCCAGGGAGGGAGCCTTGTGCAGGAAGGAATGGCATCAGCGTGGCCTCATCTTCGGGTTCTGACAGTTAAGGCTTCTGTTTGTTAGACGTGGCAGTGACCGTTGTCTGGAAAGGAAGAGACAGTCCTGGCGTCAGCAAGAGGAACATGGGACCCTGGGTGTCTGGGCCATCAAGCCTTTAAATCTTGTCTGGTATTCTCCAAGATGGCCATCCCCCCATCCCCACAGGCCACAGGCCAGGAAAGGTGACTTTTTTTTTTTTTTTTTTTTTTTTCGGGGGTGAGGAAGGTGGCAGGTGGCCAGGCGCAGTA